TGGAGGTCTATGTGATGAGGTCTGGAGGGGCAATTGTGACACAGCAGAAAATCACAGTACCCAAAGCTCGGTGAACCCAGCTTTAAATTCCAACCCTGACTTGTTAACTGGAGAGGGGAGTGAATAAGACTGAATGAACAGTGTGGTTCCTGAGATCCAGCCAGGGTCCAGCAAGCATCTCAGTGTGAATGCAAAGAGTAAGAAGCCAGTCCGGTGCTGGACCTGGCACAGACCAGACATTTAACGTGTGAGTTACACCCTGGTCCTCCTCACTGTCTATTTTGCCTCCCTTGTGGACAAAAGTAATGACTTTAATTGGAATAAAGACAGAAGGAAGGAAGAGAAATTTTGGTGAGCCTTCTCTGAACTAGCCCATAAGATGAAATTTAGAAAGTCTGTGTTTATCTGTGAGAAACAGAATTTGTAGTTGAATCTACAAAATTTGTGTTTTATTCATAAATGGGAGAGAAATCCATGTAATATCTTACATAATCAGTCTTTTAACTGTTAACATATGCTAAAAATATATAATCAATTATTAAGAGAAATGTTTTTTTATTTAGAACAATTATTTTTAATGTTTATTTAAATTGGTCAAAGAAATCACTTGCCTCCAGGGTTACTCACAATTCACTGGCTTTTATATTGAGAAGTTGAGAAAGGAAAGAGAAGGATTAAAATGTGAAAAGAACTAGTCAGTGTAACTCTTTTAATTAAAGTGTTTGCAAAGTAGTTTGAGAAAATTATCCTTTCTTAAAATAAAAGGAATTGATTGAAAAAAAAACAAAAGATGAAGTGGAGGAGGGAGAAAGCTAGAAATGCTGAAAGAAGTGATAGCCTATCTACCCCAAAGACAACACAGGGAAGCACACCTCAGGGTAGATTCTGAGGACACCTCTCATTGGCTGGTGGACACCCTAACACCTGGGTTACTGTCTTGTCCTTTCTTAAAGAGATGAAGTTTGCATAAAGCTTTCACACCTGCTTTCAACAGCTTCACAAACTCACCTTTCATCTGAAACAAAGGTTTAATCTTCTTACAGCCTGGAAATCTCCACAGCCCTTTCATCAATTTCCCTGCTCTGGTCTCCCTCAAAGACATAAACCACTCCACAGATGGCTTTTGGAAGTTCCCAGAAGTCTACAGAGTTCCCAGAAACTTCCATTTCATCTGCTCCAGGAAGCCCAGCTCTACCCATATTTGAAATAGTATCTTTGTTCAGAGAAAACTGCATCCCTTATGAAAAAAAAAAAATCATTTCTGAGTGGTTTAGGGTGACTACATGGTAGGGTAGACTTTGGCTTTTCCTCTTGCTCAAAGAATTCAAATAATCTATCACGAACCTGCCCCATCTTCAACTTGGGGAACACTTGGCTAGTTGACAGAGTGGCTAGGATTCAGCACACATCTCAGCTTTTACTGTTTGTCTAATCCACTAGAATCCCTCATGTCTTTCCATTTCCAAGCTTTTTTTTTTTCCCTCAGTGCAGCTTCATCCCTGTGGTCCTGGAAGCAAAATCAAATAAATACTTTAAGAGAGCTCCAAGAAGGCAGCTACCCCCCCCCATCTACTTCTATTGTACTTCTCATACGCATGTGTAAATGACCGTTAAAATATAAATCTCAGTAACCCAAAGATCAAGCTGCAAACTCCCACAGTAAGGAAGGCCTTGGTGTGCAATGGCCTTCAACATCCTCTCTAATGACCACTAACTGGAACTTGAGGATGTGACTCGGTTGTGCAAGGCTGATGAACTGGCAGACTAAAGGGACACTTAAAAAAAAAAAAAAAAAAAAAAGTCTTTTGTAGGTCAAGCCCTGAATTTGAGGTCTTTCTCCCTGGCAGCAGCAAACAGTCTCACTAACACCTACAGAAGAATGCAAGCATCTGTAGGCAGTCACCAGGCAGCTTCGGATATCAGCGTTACAGAAGGAACCCAGACCTGGACCCAGGGTCTGCTGTGAGTTCTTGCCAGGAAATGGTTTTCAGCTTCTTTGTTTTAACACCTTCGCCCCTGAATTCTCTGTAACCACAGCTCGGGAGGGAAAATACACCTACTCATGCCTCTGTAAATCTGCATGTGTTTGTAATTCTGGATTGGTATGTGAAAACACACTTTGCCATTTATCTTCAGGTTGAGTGACTAGGCCATCTTACTGGATTGACTTCTCAACATTAAGCCATTAGGAGACACACATACACAGAAACACATATACATAATAAATACAAACACACATATACATATATACCCAGTCTCCTTACCCCCCTCTCAGCATACACACACACACACACACACACACACACACACACACACACACACACACATCCCTCCAGCCACAATTCTCAGGAGATCTGAGACATCTTGATCAATAGTTGGCTGGTGGTCTGCCAACACCGTGGCAATGTACACACTAAGCTGGAAGTCTTCGGGTACATTTGAGGTACAGTACAGAGCTTCCTTCCTCCATCTTGTATTCTCATTGAGGCCATTTTAGGTTTAACTAAAATTTGACCTCTCTGATGGAGAGCCATGGAAAATTACCCAACTCTATCCTAGGAACCCAAGGTCAAGCTACCCCAGCTAAATTAACTTCTGTTAAACCCCTACAACTAACTGCTTATCTAAGTTTCTGTTAAACCACTTGCTTGCATAAAACTTCCCCTTGCAAATGCCAAGTGAACTACTAGAATGTAGTTTTGGTTTTGAAAACCCCTTACCCTAAATACTTAGGGCTACAGTTGGGTCCCAAATACCTAAGTGTAATCCCTGCTGGCTGGAATAAAGACTTTCAACTGGCTATAAGCTGAATCTGAGTGGTCACCTCTGGTGAGCAACCCATAACCTTGAATATGAGGAGGCATTTCATAAGAAAAATATAAGTGACAAAGAATGAAAACAAGCAGGGAAATGTCAGCTAGAAAAGATCCAGAACTTCGGGGAAAAGAAAAAAGAGAGGAGGAGAAACAGAAATCAACTATATAAGCAGGAAAGCAGCTGACATTCCCTTGCTTATATCAAATTGCCCAAAATGTAAAGAACAGTATTTGATCTATGGTAAATAGTAGCAAAATAGGACTGGGGAGCTGGGCCAAAGGGTCAGAATGCTCGTGCTGCAAGCATGGGAACCTGAGTTCAAATCTCTAGCAATTACATACAAAGCCAAACACAAGCTCGTAAATCCGAGCAAGCTCCAGGTTCAGTGAGGCATACTGTTTCAAGGCAATACCATGAAGAATAAAACAAGACACTCAAAGACCTATTCTGGCCTTATGTGCACACATGGGACTTTACACATAGATATTCCTAAGCACTCACCACACAAAATACACTGCACACATGATTACTCCCCAAGAAAGATTATCAAAATAAATGTATGTACTCAAACATGTAACATTACTAAAATATTTGAAATCAAGCTTTCCAACCTCCCTTCCCTTCAGCTACTGTGTACAGAACCTTATGCAGCTCACAAGCATTTCCTGCGGCCTCCTTCACTTTGTGTTTCATCTTATTCCTGGGACACCAATCCCCAAAGCTCCAAGGTCAGCAAGCCCAGAGGATGGATGCCACGGGCTCAAGGCCAAACAGATACACATCAGTCATAAAGACCATAGCTTCAACATCTGGAAGAGATGGCTTTAATAAAATGTTCTAAAATAATGGATGTACATACATACTAACATATGTGATATATCAAACATACTCATATATTACATGATCTGTAGAATTATTTAAAAACCATTCTTCCTGTTTATCCATCTACCCCCTTCCTATTTATTAGCTTACCTAGCTACATGACTCTGATAAACAAATTAAATGGAATTTTAATGACTAACCTCCAACTCTCTACCAACAAATATAGGAATGAAAATGTACCCACAAAAATAGCAATTCTTGACATAAGAATCCATTTTTATTGAACTTGCTGATACCATGCCTTCCCATCAGGTCCCCCACAGTTTTAAAGCACAATAGCTTCTTGTCACATCTAATTTTAATCAGTCATCATAATATAACTAAGAAACTTCAAAACAATCAGCAAGGCCTATGCAGGAGCCAGCCTAAATTCTTGACATTTTTCTCATTGTTTTCCTGGGGAAAAAAAAAAAAAAAAAAAAAACACAGGCAGAGAAGGCGATAATCAAGGAAATAGCCAGCAAATCGTTACCAGGCCACACATCCGTGTGTGTGTGTGTGTGTGTGTGTGTGTGTGTGTGTGTGTGTGTGTGTGTGTGTGTGTGTGTGTTGCAATTCCTTCATGAATTAAGATTTGGTTATCTTCCTGTTGTGTATTTTTCTACAAAAAGGTAATGTCAGTTAAATGACTACTATTTATTGCCGAGAATTATAAAACATGTCAATACCTGAAAAATAAATCCTGCCTGATCCGATGTGAACATGTGAGTTCTACAGATCTCATGAGTGGGCTTGGAAGGACTGGGACCATTCATGCATGGGTTGCCAGGTAACAAACACTGGTTAGCCTTGGCATGAGTCTTAGGAAGACTCAAGAATCTTGGGAAGAGTTGGTTTACAACTAGCCAGTGCTGCAACATTTAAACCAACATAGAGTTTTAACACTGAAAGACACTGAAAGAGGCAACTTAGTTTGGAAGTGATATTTCCTCTTGAAAGGTCTCTCTTTCCCCCCTCCTCCATTGGAGAGGAATGCAGTGAAGTACTGGAAAGGGAAAATGTAGTTAAAAACACATTCCCTTCCTAGGGTCAACCGAATTATCAGCCTCTCACCCCAAAACAAATTTACCTCTTCAAGACTGGAGGACTTAATCACTCTTTGGAAAAGTACAAGCAATGATTAAGATGCCATTTGGACATGGCTGGAATTTTTTGTGTTCAAGGAACTTTGAGTAGAATCGATTATTCTTATTCAAGTAGAATACATACTGCAGGAAAGAACTATGATAAATGGCACTGCCGTGACCCTCAGGTTAGAGCAAAGGAATATTGGAAAATAAATCTCAATTGTGGATACTCACCAATCCTGCAATGGGGGTAGGCAATCTATTGATCTTTTTAACAAGTCCTGGCTTTATAGCATTCAGCAACCTGTCATGAAAAAGGCAGAATGTCAAGCAAGACATAAAGCAAGATGGATCACACAAATCACCTGTATCCAGGGCTATGGCTAAACTGCTGAATAGGAAAAGCTGTGAATTTAAAGCATGCTGTAAATCTCAGCCATCTATCAGTCTCCCTGTGGGAGTTAAGAGCTCTGCCAGCACCAAGTTTGCTGACAGCAGGTGGAGTCAGAGTTTGGAAAGTTAGGAAAGGGGGAAGGGGGACTGAGAAGTGCTTCATGGTGAAAGGATGGGAAGTAGGCTGAGGCTCAAAGAGAACTGTCTAGAATCAGAGCCAGGTATTGCAACCCAGGACAGGTATGGCATACTCAATCCTTGTGGGTAAGGCAATCACCTCTTCAGGGATAAACGGGGTTGAGAGACAAACATGGATCTTTGCAAATGATTTGCCAAGACAAATTCTGTCTCCAGACCCTATCTGTGCTTTGAGGAGACTGGCTCATTGGAAGTGGTTGAGCTTCATTTAAAAATGGAAGAGTGTATTTTCTAAGAGGTGAACCATTCACATCCTGAAGAACCAAAACGATGCTGACCACGATTCCCTAGGTAACAAAAAAAAAAAAAAAAAAAAAAAAAAAAAAATTATTGAGCAAATGGTTTTTCAGGGCAAGCTTAAAAGTGGAAATACATACAAGAGAATGTGGTCTGCAGGGACTATAACCTGAGCATGAAGCACAGGAAGAATGGCAAGCAAGCTGTAAAATGAAAATACAGTTATCATCGGAGTAAAATGAAAATAATGAAAATACAGTTATCATTGGAGAAAAGGTAGAGTGTAATATTAAAAAAGTAGGATGTTCATTAAGGGCTAGCTGGCAGTTAGGGTCCACAGAATGAAATACTTATTTAAGAATTAGTTAGATAATTTTCCTCAGAACACTAAAGAGAAATCAGGAAAGTTTATTATAACTCAAGGACCAACAAGCTACAAACCCAGGAGCCAAGAGTGTCCAACACCTGTCTTGTAAATGAAGTTTTACTGGCACACAGCTGCAGCCCAGCCCATTTGTCATGAATAGTCTTCATCTCCTCTTGTCTATAGCCACCGTGTTCAGCGGGCAGAGGGAGAGAACATATGATCTACAAAGTGTGTTACTTTCCCTCTGCAGCCCTTTATAGGAAAGGTTTGCTAACTTCTGCTCGACTTCCTGCAATCCAAGATCACAGTAACACTGCAGGCCCCACACTTGAGAGATTCTACAGGTCACTAAGAGAGATTCTTTGAAACACTCCACACAGATGGGGGCAGCCTATAGCAGTGGGGCTGGGTACTCTGCTTTTGTAGCGAAACTCAACTGGAGTTTCCATATATTTTCATTACAAATCCCACCCACTGCTCCAGCATATAATGGTGACAGTCGGCATGGGCACTTAGGTCCCTGAGGACAACATGGCTATTCTTTTCTATGAATCAAGCTAGTTTAGCCATGTCTTTGACCTTTTTGAAAACGTACTTCTATAAAACCTATTCTGGGGTTGTTGGCATTTTGACCTGAAGGCAACTTTCCATTTTACTGCATAGAAAAACTGAGGTTTGGTATTGCTGAGTCACTTCTCCAAAGATGCTCAGAAGCCACACTGAGCCCAGTGCCTGTGAGACCTAGGTCAGTGTGTCTCTTACATGGCATTAAAATCTCATATCTTTTGGCTTAAAGAATATAGTGATTCCAAAGCAAAAAAAAAAAAAAAAAAAAAAAAAAAAGGATAGAATTTTTAAAATTAATTTGTTGTTTTAACTAATTTTTCATACAATATATTTTTGATCTTGGTTTTTGTTCCCTCAACTCCTCACAGAGCTTTCCAAGTTACCTACCCATTTAACATTATGTTCTTTCTCTCTCTTTCTCCTTTTCTCTCTTTCTCTCTCCCTCCCTCTCTTCTTCTCTCCTTCCCTCTCTCTCTCAAAAAAAAAAAAAAAAAAAAAGCAAAAACCTGCACAGAAACACAAAAACAAAAATCGAAGGAAATAAGCAAAAGATCAGTAAGAAAAACATGCCAAAACAAAACAAAAAGTCTGCCAAAAGGAAGTGTGCGTGTGTGTGTGTGTGTGTGTGCTGGCCAACTATTCCTGGGTGTGGGGACTTCTCCGGACTGTGGTTGATATAACTAGTGACACTTCACTGAAGAAAACTGATTTTCTTTTGGTCAGCAGTTATCAATTGCAAACAGCTTCTTAGGGATGGGATTCCATGACTACTTCCTCTCATTACTGATAGGATCCTTTCTGGATAGAACCTACCAGGTCTTGTGCATGTTGCCCTAGTATCTGTGAGTTCATATGTGCATTGGTCCTAATGTTCCTGGATGACACTGTTTCCTTGGTTGCATCCATCACCCTGGCTCTTACACCCTTCTCCTCCTATTCATGGTCCCCTAAGCCTTGAAGGGAAGGGTTTGATGAAGACATCCATTTATGTAGAGTAATCCCATATCTTGCTCACTCTCTATATATATACCTGAATGGATAAAATTCTTAACATGCATTATTTTTCTTAGTAGCTCCTCATAGTGTCATCTAAAATAGAATTATAAAATATCTGTGCACAGTATTGATAATTCAAAGGAAACAAAATGGACATATAGGAGTATGCTGCTGTTGCTCTGCTGCCATGGGCCGCAGTCTATTCCATGAAGGCAATGTAAAGAATTTCCAACGAAAAGAAACTTAAGCACATATACTTTTTTAAAAAGGCACATACAGCCTATACCACACCATACCATACCATACTATACCACACACTGTCCTCTACTCACTCCTTATCTTAGCAAAGTAGTAATCCCTCAGTATCCACAGGGAATTACTTCCAGGTCCCCTTTGAGTACCCACATTTCCAGATTCTCTGTCTTTTATATAAAATTATGTAATTTCTGCATTTTCCATGTACTTATTATCTCTACATATACTAAACTCAATGCAAATGCCACCCAATAGTTTTTAGATTGTATTATTCAGGGCTGATGACAAGAGAAAGGGTCTGATGTTTGGTGGGGATACAACTTTTTCCCCAAATATTTTTTATTGTGGTTGGCTGAATCCATGCTGATGAGCCTATGGATACAGAGGAGTAACTGTCCTGGTGGCTGGGCAATTTGCCTTGGAGAGCATATCTTACCAATGCATATGGAAGCTATGTCCTTCTTAATAAACACAGAGGATGCTGGAGAGCTGATGGGGGTGCTGGAGGAGCATTCATTCTGAAGAGTGTCTGAATACAACACCCAAATGCGTCCTTTTCTGGTTACTGGTATGTCTGTTAGCCTATTTGACCAACTGTAATGCAGGTTCAAGAGTGGCTTTAAAGAAACAAAACTGTAAGAGGCTAGCACAGAGTCCAGCCCATACACTCTCTGTAAATACTTCTCCATGTTTTTGTGTAAGTGTTTTACCATTGTAAATGGACTGAGAGCATTTTGACATACCATTTGTTTAAAGAATTTTAGATGTTAAAAAAAATCAAATGAAATAGCATTGCCACTAGGTTTTAAGCCATATTGCTAACTAATAAAAGTAGAAAAATCACCTCACCTCCATAATGTATTGGCTAAAAATTCTTCTCAAAAGGCATCCTTTATCTTCTGTACCTAAGGGACTCATTGATATTTGTAGTAATGATGGCTCTACTCACTCATCTTTTATAAACTCATTATCAGAGTCATCCTTCATAGGCTGCTCTGACACTTTCCTATCCCATGAAGATGTCAAAAAAGTAAAGAAATAAAGCAAACATAATGCTGCATTTTAATGAAAGGAATGATGGAAAACTACAACCTCCAACTGTTAAAAAAAAAAAAAAAGATGTTTTTTCCATATAAACAGTATCTCCATTCTGTACAGAATTTACAGTATACAATAATAAAAGATAACATCAAATTCACACTGTAGAGATGCCCAGCACCTGGATTTTATCTTGTATTTTGCCTTAAACTGAGGAAAAGTTTCTGTGTATTAAGAAACAATGAGACATGTAACAACAGCTATGAGGAAGAATATTCATCTATAACTTTACTTAAAGCCGCAAAAAATGGTTCATTGTCACACCACCTATGCATAGCCACCATGTGTTTATATATATATCATGTAATCGAGTAAACACAATTCTTAAAGAGTAATGCACTCCTTAAAGAGTAATGGACTCCTTAAAAAATATTGAGTCTGGAATGATACCAATGTTCTGACTCCATTTAACAACATTCTGCCTCCCCATATGCAGTATGTGGTGGGCTCTCGGCCATTTCTTAAGCATTGTTTTGTATTTATAAATACAAAGTGAAAGCACTTTTTTATACCGACACCAAAAATCATACAAACCAAAACCCATCTCTACTCTTTGGCCTTGGAGAAAGAACTTCTGTTTCCTCTCAGAGATTATACAAGAGCTCTGGAAAGGGCCACAAAACCATGTAATGCTAAAAAGATTTTGTCCAGACACAGCGAACTAGCCCACCAGACAGACTGCTATTGGGCTGTGATAGGAATGTAAAAAGTAAGATGTAAAGGACTGAGAATTTTAGGAGTATTGAACTTACACTACAAATCATTCGCTTCAGAGTTCTGGGCTTTGTAATTTATCCTAGAGTTTGGGAGAGAGAGAGAGAAAGCTATAGACCTCAAACATCAGGTTGGGAAGTTCATGCTTCATCTCATGGGAAATCACTTTGTCCTTTACAACAATACATTACATCATCGTCTCATTAGCTTGGTTTGTGCAGCTGCAATTGGGAACAGTGATGACAAAATGGCCCATTTTTGTGTCCCTTTTCATTTGGCTCAAGTGTGTTTTGCTACATGGTTTCCTTGATGGTTTTCTGGATTGAATGAAGGTACCGGTGTTTTCATTTAATCCAAAATGGCATCTGATTTCAAACCTAAGCACATGATCATTGCAACCTTGACCATAAACCACTTCAGATGCCATTTAAAGTTTTCTTTTTAGAGTTGCCTCGCAGAACCAGGAACATTAACAAACT